TGCAAGTAAAAATTATGGTAAAAATTAAAAAAAAAAAAAAAACTATCACATAATACATGTAAAAGACAATACTTTCGTTTATTGAAAGAAACCAACAATTAAACAGAAGCTACAAGATTATAATATATTTTCAAATCAACTGTTTCTGAAATCAATAATATTGGGTTGTTCGGAAAGTAATTTCATTTTTTATCCATGGAAAAAACCACAATATTTTTATAATAAATAAATATTTTATTGAATTATATATTGTGACCTTTCAGGTCGGCACCTCTTTAGTGCCCTGTCAGGATTGACACCACCGTGTTTATCGGAACACAGAAGCCGAGATGGCAATTACTACATCACACCATCACGCGAGCGGTCCCGTAAGTGGACAGACAGATTCGTAATGTCAGCCGATCGAGAGACAGCATGTGGAAAAGATTTGAACTACACTTAACAATTAACAAGGATTTAATTAAAAATAAATTGGATAAGATATAGAGGTTCTAAAGTTGGTCGTGAAGAGAGTTCACATAACGAGCATGAGTTGCATAAATACCTGGTGATAAAAGGTGGTTTCCCAATGGAGCTCTTGTTGGGTGATAATAGTTCCGATGGTGATTAGTTCCACTATAATATCCACTAGCACAATGATGGCACAAGTTATGCAAAATGGCACTGGTCGACGATATTCCGGGAGTAATCGGTGTGGGTTTCCTTTGACAGAGGGACAGACGATGACTCTTTTTTCGGCCATCTCTGGCGATATTCACAGACAATATTGGCCATCCAGAGGTTAAAAGATTGTGAGAAAGCCTCGTGTTGTCTTCGAGAAAATGTAATGGGAGACTTTCTCAGGTAGCTACGAACAACAATTGTTACGTAACTCGAACAATATTAATATTAAAGACTAGTTCTAATATAGGAATTTCTGCTACCTACATCATTGACCATTTTGGACAAATACTTGTTGTCATCATTTCTGATAGTAGCATGATTTCACATTCATAAAAGTTTTGATCATTGCTTACAAAAAACTGATCCAAGTGATTTTTGACATTGTCATTTCAAGTAAATGTCTTACAGTTAAAAAAAATTTGTATAGACTGGAACAAGTAATAATCTGAGGGTGCTCGATCTGGCAAATATGGTTGGTGTGATAGCATGTCACATCTAAGTTATAACAGTTTCTGACAAGTTACCAAACTTGTATGAAATTTGACATAATTGTGGTAAACCACTACACCTGTTCTGTTGATCTTTTCTGTTTGATGATATTACTCAATTTGTTTACTTGATGGCAGTACACTTTCGAATCAATTGTTAAATTGTCTGGTAAAAGCTTCAAAAAAAAATTTCCTTAAAATCCCACCAAAGAGAGCATCTCTAAGAATGTGACTGTAGGGTCGGTGTCTCTTTGACACCATGTCAGGATGCGACACCACCGAGTCTTGCAGGACTTGCGGAAATCGCAACTTTATGTCATGCGAGCGGTAGCGGGTAGGTGGTTGGATTCGGAGTAGAGGTGAAGAGAGAGAAACGAGGAAGTGATTCACTTGGATTCCATATTAATAAAAAATAACAAATTTATTTTATCAGACAGGAGTACACGATATATGATCTTATCCCTATTTTCTTTCATTTAACTATCGTGAGAGACAGTTTACAAACAACTCATGTGAGGATAAATACCTTATAAAGAAGTTGAGGATGGATAACTTGATGACTCAAACACAGGATTCTTCAGGTGTTCGGTGGATTCTTCGGATAATTGAAGGGTCTTTTTATTCGAATTGTTCAGTAACAGATCTTCGGAGGGAGGTATCTGACAGGTGTAGTACTTGGGAGTGATAGGTATCCGTATGTTGATATCAATGGAGGCATAGTACTTTAACACACTTTGGAGGCGAATTTTGTGGACGGACTTTGGAGGACGACTGACTTGATTTTTTTCATCGCTCTCCCTGGTAATTTTTCCCTTCTGGGTTTTTCCATGAGGTCAGGAATCCAATAAGGGATATCTATTGCAAGTTCTGGGTGACACACTAATGACTAGATGGATCATCCTCAACAAGGAAGCAAGTCTGTGGAAAACAATTTTTATGATAGCTCTTGAAAAAGAAATTGAAGTCAAATGGCAAAATTGTAAAATGACCAAAGGTCAAGCTAATATTTTCATCCCTTTGTCCGTCACAAGAACATGTGGAACCCATATATCTAGCTTTGAAACTAAACCAATTTGTTTCAAGTAATCATAAACAGTTAAATTTGACAAATTTAATCTCAGTTATTTCACGTGTTGTTATTCGGCAGTTTGCTTCAATCAGTACCTTTATTTTGTATTCATTGGCTTCAACAGGCCATCCAGAATGTAGTGCATCTTCAATATTGAAATTGCCAGAACAAAATTTTGTAAACCAGTTTTGGCACTGTCATTCTGTCAATACATCTTCTCCATACACGTCACACAAATTTTTCTTGCTTGAACAGCATTCTTACCTTTTCGGTAATAAAAGAGCAAAATATGCCAAAAATGCTGCTTTCGATCTTCCATATTTGATGGGACACAAAAAATAAACAATTGCATAAAATCAAACAAATTTTTTTACAAATAAGCCTTAAAATGCTAGCTGTCAAAATATATAATGATAATACAGTTTAGAATGAAAATGGAGGGAAAAATACGACTGATCCATCTAGTGGTAAAAAAAACGAAATTACTTTCCAAACAACCCAATAGAAGTAAAATAAGTGATGATAAACAAACAATCATCCTTAAAATGAAAGATCATTAAAAAGTGTTAACATGAATATTTTCAATTTCAGTTTATAAAAAGATGTGGAATTTAATTTCTATAGAAATAAATAATAAACGGAGAATGTATTCATGAGAAATCATTACTAATAGCAGTGCTCATAATCTTTATATTCAAACAAAAGGATTGGAAAAGTTTCTAGGACCTAGAGATAATTTATTTGATTAATGTTTCTAGAATGTAATAATCCCCATTTTCAGATCATTTCAAAATAAAACAAAATAGAGTACTTTTAAATATAAAATCAAACATTACATTCTTAAACATTACAAACATAATATTCTTAGAAAAAATAGTACTTGTTGTCACACTGTTACCTAATTATAATGTAGGTTTGATAAAGAGAAAGTATAACAAAACAAAAAAGGAAAAAAAATTAATTGGTATGTGGAGGATTATTCCATGGTTTGATAGCATTATTATTTAGGAAGAATTAGTCGGCATCACTTAATAATTATATACTAATATACTATCACTGCACATCGGGTTGTATATAATACAATAAATCTGACTTACGGAACCTTTAACTGATGTGTATCACTTTTTCTTTCAAAAATCAAACGTTTTCATAACCCCTTCTGGGTTCTTCATCAGGATAACAGCTGGATCGAATAGCGATTTCACAAAGTTTTAATGATTCCGAACTTGAATCGTTCCATTCGCTTAATCCGTCACGTGATGTAATTGAAATTGTTCTATTTTGACGGTCGATGTTCAAATTTAAGAGAACGATCCAAAACATGTTATTAAGATATAAAGATTATTTAATATTCTCGTGTTCCCTAATATCATTTATTTTTAAGGCTTAATATAATTTCGTTATCACTCTTTATGGAGTAGTTTTTGCCACTCCATGGAAAGGCTGATCTCTTCTCTTGAATTAATACACTCGGATTTGTCATACACCCTAAAAATTTCCATCTCTTCTAGCCATTTTAGTTGGTGAATATGTGGTGTGGAGGCAATTATCCGTGCTGCATTGAAGTCCNTCAATGCAGCACGGATAATTGCCTCCACACCACATATTCACCAACTAAAATGGCTAGAAGAGATGGAAATTTTTAGGGCGTATGACAAATCCGAGTGTATTAATTCAAGAGAAGAGATCAGCCTTTCCAGGGCGTGGCAAAAACTACTCCATAAAGAGTGATAACGAAATTATATTAAGCCTTAAAAATAAATGATATTAGGGAACACGAGAATATTAAATAATCTTTATATCTCAATAACATGTTTTGGATCGTTCTCTTAAATTTGAACATCGACCGTCAAAATAGAACAATTTCAATTACATCACGTGACGGATTAAGCGAATGGAACGATTCAAGTTCGGAATCATTAAAACTTTGTGAAATCGCTATTCGATCCAGCTGTTATCCTGATGAAGAACCCAGAAGGGGTTATGAAAACGTTTGATTTTTGAAAGAAAAAGTGATACACATCGGTTAAAGGTTCCGTAAGTCAGATTTATTGTATTATTTAGGAAGAGTTAGAAGATCTGTTATTATTTAGAATAAGTAGTGGTGCTTTCAGAGGGGCAATAAGGAGCCCTGACAACCTCAAAAAAAGAACACTACAAAATTTTCTAAAAATCTTCTCCTAATTAAAATTCTTTTTTTATTTATTTATATTGTGTCACGTCATCTATTTCTATACTACATATGAATTATGGTCACATAAGGTGAAAATGTTATTGAATTCCACAATAAAAATGTTTTTCCATTCAACTCAGTTCCTCCCAAGATAAAAATCCTTAATACACCACTGAGGGTAAGTGAGAAGGATTTGAAAGTTGAAATTAGTTTGTTGGTTGATAAGGTTACAAGTGATTCTGTATTAAAAGTTGCATAAGCATTACGAGATTTGAAATATGTTTACTATAAATAGATGTTAATTACCCAATAATAACAAATTATTTGTGCAATAAACCTTCATTTGAATTATAAAAATTTTACATGCAATTTATAATTACATTATAATTATTTAACAGTCAAAAATGTTATATTAGTTATAAATTATAATTGTAAATACTGTCAAATTGTAAATTCTCTAAGACATCTAATTTGTAATTGTAAAAAATTTCAAAGCATAAAGAAAAAAATATGTTTTAGATTTTTTAGAATGTGTTGAAGGAGGAAGAGATATTTTTGATGTTATTAAACAATAATCTTTTTATTTCATTCATAGAATGTTTAAATTTATTGGTGTTATTGCATAAAGTAATAACATCTTGGATGGTTTGGAGGAATAAAATTAAATTTATTTTGCTTCTTATAATTTGTAAGTATATTTTTGTACATACAAATTCTGTAAGTGCCCCAATAACAGGAGTCTATTATGTATAAAATGATACTGATATTAAAAACAAGATAAAACTGCAATTATAGAATAGAGAGCAAAGTATTTAAATACTATATAAGTACAGCAATTATTAAAAAATGATCAAAATTACAATAATTTGAAATAATCACCTCAATTTTCTTACAAGTTTTCTCTGACTAAAATGCCATGATTGTGTAAGAGATGACTGCAAAAATACCTGAAATTTTAAACTAATTTTAAAATATTTTCTTTGATATTTAATAATGTAATTGTTAGAGATAATACATATTAATAATTTTATGTTTATTTGCATAATAATATTTACTCAACTCAAAAAATTAGCATTTTAATAAGTAGTGTATGGTGCAAATAAGATAATTTAGTCAATTCTAATTACAGTGTAATAAAATAAATAAGAATACCCGTTCCATAAGAGTCTGAAGTTGTTCATTTTCAGGAGTTCTCATCAAACGAAGCATGTACAAGAAAGATAAGAAATGTAACAAATCCGGAATAATATAAACACTAATGATATTGCCTGAGCACACTTGATTGATGTTTTCTTTAACTATTTCTGATTTGTTAATATCAAATTTGTAATTTCTTCTTGAAAAAATTGAAAATTGGTATGCTGTTTCATTCTGGAAAAATACAATAAATACTTTTTAATATCATTTAAGATTGTAAAAAAATTTGATAAATCTAGATCTAGAGCCAGAAGATAACAGAAGGAACAGTTGTCTTCTCTGGGATTCTTTGTTATCTGTTGATAAACCTTTTCTTGTTTAGTTCTTACAAAGTGAAGTATTATGCTAGTTCAAGTAATTATTTATTAAAAATAATTAGCAAGTTTCTTATAGTTATTTCTTATTGGTAAACATCACTACTGTGCATTTCTCATGATGGAAAGAAAAGATGAAATAATATTTGGCATTATAATTGGAAAATTCTTTATTGATCTAATCACAAATTTAGTTTTTGTTGCCAAAGATATATATACAAAATCTAGAATTATTTATATAGAAAAATTAATAATAGTTTTTTAACAACATAATACAGTCATACTTTTATTATTACAGAAGAGACAGATCTTGACAGTTGATAAACTACTATTTAGTTATTGTTACAAAAATGTTATGAATATATATAAATTACTTGAATAATTTTTAAAATTATAAAGTTTCTTGATATTGTAATGTACAACAACTATAAGTGTGACTATGAGGATACTGTTTAGAGTGAGGGACCATTAAAAGTTATGGAGGAAAAAATTATTGTATTTGCATTTCTTGATGAAAAGAAACATAAAATCTAAAATGAGCAAAAAAGCCCATTAATCTGAAATAATTAGATTAACAGATAATGTCTCCATTATTAATGTAAATCACAAACTATAACAGGAAAAAGAAACTCACTGTATGATGAAAACACAATGAGACTTGTTGCAATACTATCTAATGAAAGAAGAGATTTCAAATAGCCATGCAGTCATGTATGTCTAATCATAATCATAAACAATAAAATAGTTTTCCACAAATATATTAATTTCATTAACTCTTTTCTATGATTTAATTTTTAAGTTTCTTTAACAAAAAAAAAAAATAAAATGATTGGATACACATATGACCTTATATGAACTCAATTTTATCCATTATAACCTGATCTGCAATGAAGTTTTTATGTATGAGTAAAGATGAGAATGATACTCTAATCCTTACCATTCATGATAAATTATGATAAATGCTATTTCTTGAACTAATTTTTAATGATGAGAAAACATCATACATTCTGTTTGAGGAATGCAGTCATGTAAGTATAAGAATAAAAAAGTTGAATTACAAATTTGAAATTACTTAAATACACTATTAAATGTAAACAATTAATTAATAGTATAATTAATATTTCACTTTCAGCAAATGCTAATTTTAAAGATAAAATATGGAAAAAAATCATACGATTAATAGAAATAATATATTTGCCAGTAATAAATTTTTCATAAATACAGAAATTATTATTTATTAATTATCAAACTTAAAGAATCTCAAAATTTAATACAGTATTTTATATATATAGTAGAACCCCAATTATCTGAAGTAAGGTTAACCAATGCTACCTTGGATAACTGAAAATTCAGATAAAATGGACAACCACAGTCATTTTGGATTAAAAATTACAATTATAAAAGATTTATATGGTAGGACTTTTAAACCTGTTTTTAAATCTTAATGAATTTAAACTTCCAGTGTTTAGCGACAGAACTGCTTGGCCACTGGTGGGCAATCTCATTTCTAGTGACAACAAATTTTAAATAATTTTTTCAATATAGTTTTACATTTCCTTACTATAATAAATAAATAAATAAATATATTAATCATATAAAAGAAAAACAATTTTTACATCACTTAATGTATAACTAATACATAAAATAGTTTTTATTGTAGTTATATTTGAATATGAATGATTTGTCTCTCATTGAAATTAAATGATAAAAGGTATCAGAAACAAATAATTTCATAATACATACCATCATTTTGAACTTTCTTTTATGAATTGCAATGTAAGAAAAGTAGTATATTCACTTACAGGTTTTATTTGGATAACACAGATTCTCAGTTAATCAAGGCTTCAATTATTGGGGTTATATCATATTTGAATTTTGTTTATTTTTATTAAAATAAATTAAAATTTTTAAAAATTACAATAATAATAAAAAAATGATTATTGGGAAATTAGAGGTGCTTATCCTAGTTAAAATTAAAGTCTGATATGCTAATGAAATGCCAATTAAAAACTGAGTGCGTCAGAACAATATAGACAGTGGTGATATTCGAAATATATAACAAAGGGTTCACTAACAGAAAATTTTTCCTTAACAATTTTTTTCGCTCAAATGGTGCATTAGCAACATTAGCGCAAAAACTGACCTTAAGATACCCATATAAATAAAAAAGATGCGTTCGCAAAATTAAGTCAGTTAAAGTTTAACATTGTTTATGCCAGAACTATATATATATATATATATATTGATAAATAATAAAAAAAAGTGTTCAAAATGGTTTATTTTGTACATATTTTAATATTTTTCACTCGAAGTATTTTATAAACATAAAAATTGGCTTATTTTTAATCAGAAAAAGTCAGGTTTAACTGCTTTCCCTATGACTTTTCCTCAAAAAAAACTTTTCTAAATCATTTATTTTATCATTAGGTATTATTATAATAATAGACAGATGTCATCGTCTATGGAAATTCAATATCTTTTTTATTTCGCTGGCAATAGCACGACACGTGTTCCGCAGCCATCTTGTATTTTCTCGCGCGCGTGGGACCTCTCGTACGACTTTTATTATGGGACCTCTCGTAGGACTGGACTAGTTTCGAGAACTCTCTTGAGTCGATCGAGATTGAAACGGTCAATGGAGGTTGCACCTAGGCGAACGGGGTATAAGGCTCTAGTTTAGTAATGTTACAGAGTATAATACATATATTTTAATATATTTTTTAAAAGAAACAAAACCACTGAAAAATATTACGTGTGTTTAACAACGGGTTCGGAAAACTTTGAAAATGTTAACAACGGGTTCGGCCGAACCTGTGCGAACCCGCTGAATATCACCACTGAATATAGATAATATTCGCTTGTCTGCATATGTTTATAAAATATGAAGTATCTTAAGAGGACTCATTAAACAATAAAATTTAAACCTTTGATTTGCAAATTTTTCTGAACTTAAACTAAAACAATTTGCTAGAGTTATAAAAAAAATTTATAGTGTATAATTACTGATTTGATTCAATTATTATTTCTAAGAGTAGTAATTCATCCCAAATTTAATAATGTTTTATGCTTTTCTAATCTAGAACGATTCTATGCAAAAGGATTCAACAAACTGATATTTGAATGATCTTCAAATCTAATTGAAGTTGAATATGTCTAAAAATATTTCGCTCTCATCTGCTTTAAAATATTCATTTCATTTAGAAATTAATTTAGTGTATCTTGTTGTACCTTGCTACATCATACTGCATTACGTTCTGTGCACCTGCAGATAAAATATTTGAAAAATAAACTAGAAACTTTGACAATCAAATCTTGCCCAACAGGAAATGGGAATAAGGACTTTTAACATGAGAAAATCAATCAAAATTTAGAATCAAAACCTAATACTTAACTTGATAATTCAAAATCAAACTAACTATTTTACATTATAACTGACATATTTGTGGGTAAAATTAAAAACTTTAATTCATTGATAATTGAAATTTTTAAATGCATTATCATCATCTGAACAATTAGTTTGTCATAGTATATAGTATCTCTAGAAACTTTGTATTCACATTCTAAAGATAATGTCTCAAATTATTTAAATAAATAAAATTAAAAAAAGATATGAGTAACACACATATAGTGGGTGATCAGTTAATGAACATAATCCATTCCAAGACTTTGTTCACTGTCCGAATTGTTCGTTAACCGATTTACTTTAGGTTTTTATGGAAATTTGATTAATTTGTTCTGGAAACCCCAAAAAATAAAAAATATATACTTTCTTATTACATTTATTTATATGTAATAATAAAAATACATACATACACATTCTTGCATTTTTATTAGTCATGTTTTTTCCGTTTGTGGGGATTAAAGAATCTGTCTAATGTCGATTGCTTTTCTCTCTTCTTTAGGATTTTTCAGAAGTAATTAATAGCATTGTAATTGTAGAGATCCCTAAGCCTATTAACCTCAACCTGGTTTGGATGCCATTCTAAGACCGTTGTTCTGACATCTTCCCACTTCTTCAAAAGATGTTTAACAGCAGATATCGGCATTAATCCTCTTTTTCAGAAGAAAACATCTCGCTGAGTTTCTTGGTGTTATTCATTCAAGAGTTCTTGGCATTCTGTCATCAGATCCGTTTCAGGTTCTATTATGAGTTCTTCAATGTTCTTTATTTCTCAGATGTGATTTTTGTTACTTCTTTACCTGCTTGAGTCTTCTTGATTATACTGTATCTTTCCTAGATAAGCTTGAACTGTGGCCTACTGTAGACCTGTACAAGCCATACTGTCTAGCAACATCAGACATCTGCCCACTCTCTACCTTTGCTATTATACTTTCACCTTTCGAAAATAAAAACTGACGCAAAATTTAACAAGTGCCCTCCTGACAGTCTCGCAAATACTATAAAGGAATTATTTCTGTCAGAAAAATAAAAGGCTGGAATTACAAGGGAGAGTTTCAAAGTTTGGAGGAATACTATCCAATCAGTATATGCCGGGTTGAGTGTCGATGTCGATGTCTCCCACGCTCCGAAAATTTCCAAATTGTTGCCTGAAGACGAGGGAAGACCAATCGGTATTCATTATTTTATGTCGCTTTTCCTTCTGTTTGTTCTGTGAGGTGTTTGTTGTCTGAATATAAAAATCTTTCGTGAAAGTGTTCATTATCCAATCACCCACTGTATTATATAATCACATCGCTTACAGGATGATTTTATGTCAGCTTCTGTAAATGAATGAATATAAACTATTACATAATGTATCAAGAATCATGGCAGTGTTTCCCTGTCAAGAAAAAAGTCACTTACTGACTGTATATACAGAAATCAGAATTGCTGATTTTCAGGGGTCGTTTTCTCAGCCCCCAAATATGTGAAGTAATTCTGAATATCTTGTTCAAAAGATAATTGTTTTCTTAAGTAGTGTGCAAAATTTCAAGATTTCCTATAAAGTGGTTGCCAAAATAAAAGTAATTGAAAAGTGTAAAAATCGCAAAAAAAAAAAAAAAAACTATTTTCTTTGTTTTCTTTATTCAGTACTGGTTATGCTCATAGAGAAAAAACTACTGGGTCCAGAAATCTCAAATTTTAAACTTAGGTCTTTCTCATTATCAGTGAGGTGAAACTTCTGGGATGATAGGTCAAAGTTCACAGGGGTTTCCATAGAGATATTTTAGTTTTATGGCTTAATTTTATGCTTGAAAGGATAAATTGCATTGAAACAAATTAATTTTATTCAAAATTTTATTCAGAATAACAAAAGCTCAAATTTATGCAAATTAATACTTTTTATAATGATTTTTCTAAATGGCATATTAAAATCATTCAGTTGGCAGCATGTTGGTCAGCACCAACTGAATATTGAATATACTGTACAGGTGGCAGTGTGTTTGGTCAACACTTGATAACTGAATTGTATGTCATCATCTTATGTCTTTATGTAATACATTTATTAACCAAAAAACAATTGATATCCAAACAGAAATATCTGAGATGTAAAAAAACTTGTGACAATTTAGACAACAGTCAAAATTTTTCTTAAAAGTTTTTCTTTGGTAAAAAAAAAAAAAAAAACTTGGCACTTTGAAGCAGTACCAAAAAAGACTTTTATCTGTATTATTGTTGTCTACAAATTGCTTCCAAGCATAAACCTTATCTTTATGAAAGAAAATTTTTCTGACTTCTAAGAAAAATTTTGACTGTCATCTAAATTGTCGCAAGTTTTTATTTGATGCAAATTTTTAAATCTTAGATGTTTTTGTTTAAATTTGTAATTACAATAGTCAATAAAAAAACTGCACATTTTTTAAAAGCTTTTATATTGTTATTTTAGATATTATAAAACAAATAAATCTATATTTATGTGAGATCAGCCGGGGGTACAACTCCTCTAAGGATCGTTCGTACCACTTAATCGGCACCTAGTTGGTAAAACTAGTTCTCCAAGGTTTCGAATCGTAAGATCCGATCCTAATCTATTTCATAGGAGAGCGTATTTAAAAATGATCCGAACTGCGAAGTTCAGACGTTCGTCAGGATTTCCTTGACACCAGTTTGTCGGTTATTTTACACGCGGACAAACACGCGTATGCGATCTGATTCGAACACCAAATTAAGAGACATTTTTAGTATAATTAACAAAAGTAAATTTAATAAATCTCAAACAAACTAATACAAATAACCAAATACAACGATAATACGACAAGCTATAGGCTACGGCTTATATTTAAGCTAATGCGCGTTCGAGAGAGAGCTCACAAGATTATTATGAACATACGACCTGTTTAGATGTCGTCTTCGTTTCTGTAGATATAGGACACCTTGTAGATAGGGTTCATCTTTCTTTCGTATGGGAGATTAATTCGTGCACAAAAATATAAAATTATCACTTCTTCTAAGTGTAGACTCGGAACTTAGTCTATCGGACTCCGTTATGGGCGTTGGCCATCGGGAGGGAACGTATGTGGAGTTTGTATGCTTCGGATCTGTCGAAGAACTCGTCGCTGAACTCCCCGGAACGTATGTGGAGTCTGGACACTTTCAAATCGGTCGGAGAACTCCCCGAATTCTGACTAATCTCCCCTTTTATTTCAAGATTTCGTCCAATCATCGTTCAGTAACTCTTTCGTGAGAACGGACGAAAGGGGGATGAATGAGGGGTAACCATTTCCCATCTGAGCGAGATTTTTAACCAGATACGGGAAAAACAGCGGATGTTCTCTTCGGGGGGGAAAGGAAGTGACATCTGTCATCTATTTTTCCCACTCTAAAACACTAGTTTTTTTCACACAAAATGAAGTAATATTTTGTCGATAATTTAAACATATTAATAAAATTATTAACTTAGACCCAGGGCCTTTCGGATCTCACATTTATCATCTCTAAGCCTTTAGATTTCCAGTACAGTTCAAATAAAATAGATGAACGAACATTTTCAATTCTTCCTCCAGAATCTGCTTCAGGTTCACAATTGTTCCAAATGTGGAATGTCAAGAATTTCGAACATTTCTGAATGAAAATTGTTCGAACCAGTAATGAATGAAGAATGCTAAAGACACATCTGATAGTTTGAGGACACCAGAAGTGTATAGTGTCCTGATTGGGGACCATAGGCTCCAGAAAAATTTAGAATACATTGGTTTGACCAAGAGGTCCATACAAAAAAAAATTAAGGAATACAAATATGACATCACCAAAAAAAGATACACCACCACTTGGCAACATACACCACTAACCCTGATGTAATGGCTTACTTGGACAACACCAGCATCATAAAGAAATCCTTCCAGATAGACCACATCAGGGCCTTAGAAACACTAAATTTACAAGGCAAGCAAATCAGGGATTTGTGTAAAATAAAAGGGAAGTAATGTGATATCGTACACATGGAGATATGCCTGTGAAGACATACTCATCAATAATTATATTTTATTCCCTCATGGGTTTCCCACAGCATTAAAACACACACTTTTGGGGTACATTCATTCAAATCTTTATTATCAATTCATTACTGGTTAAAACAATTTTTATTCAAAAACATTCAAAATTCTTGACATTCCACATTTGGAATGATTGTGAACCTGAAGCAGATTCTGGAGGAAAAATCGAAAATGTTTGTTCATCTATTTTATTTGAACTGTACCAGAAATCTAAAGGCTTAGAGGTGATACTTATTTGTACTGTTATTTTCTCTAGAAAGCGGTACAAATAAATCTGATACTTTTTATTTTTTTACAATAAAACATCCAATGACAAATAAAATCATTTAATTTTTATTATATGCAAATTAAATTTTACTCCTACAAAAATTTTTGGTAGGAATAAAATACATTTTCTGGTCAAATGAGTATTCCTAACAGTACTTTTAAAAAAATATTCTATATTGCCTGAAGAAGATGTCAATGCAATGTTGAAAGCACTTTTTAATATTCTTGTTATTGTTAAAGTGCTATTTTTACTATTTTTAAAGAATTTTATCCCAAAAGACAGCATTGTTTATTTTGTATATAATTATTGGCATGAAGAATATATTTTTATTTTTGAATTGATTACTTATAAGATAAAATTCTGTGAAATGAAATGATTTAGAGCTTATCTTTGTAAATTTTTAAGAAATAATACATTAGTGTTTACAATAATATTTAAAAGAAAAGTTTTAGCCAATGACAAATTTCATGCTAGTTAAAACATAGATGATCTATTAAAATAGCATTCAATATAAACACACTATTTGATAAAATTGCTTTTGCCTTATTGTATTTTAAATTATCATTAATATAAATTAGTTTATAAAAAGACAAGGTATTCTATAATGAAAAGTAAACTTACAGTATATGGTGAAAAACCATCTTTTCTAAAACAAGCTGCATACTGCAAAACATAACCAAGCAATACAAATGTTATGACTAAGATCAAATAACCAATGTTTATAATTTTTACACAATAACCAGGATCTTCATTCTGAGTAACATTTAATATCCGTCGCCAACCAAGCTACAAGAAAAACAAATAAAATATTTTGATACAACTTTTACTCTGTCAATCTATTATTAAGTAGTAGTAAATAACTATATGAGCCTGCTAACCTTATTGTTATAATTATCAGACTTATCACATGCCTTTCTGATTTTTCAATTAATGCTTAAAGAAATTGAAAAGGTGATAAATCTGATAATTATAACAATAAGGTTAGCAGGTTCATATGGTTATTTACTACTATCAAATAAAATATTGATATGTAAAAAAACTTGTAAATCAAGTAATGAAAATTTTAATTAAACAAAATATATCTTGATTAATAAGTAAATTTTAGATCTATTTATTACTACTTTATAATTACATTAATAATAAGAATACAGATGATGCACAATTTATAAAATAGACATATTAGCCTTACAATAATTGAAAATATGTATAAATTGAAAGTTATATTTTTCATTATTTATCTATTTTATCATAATCAATATTGTTGAATAGTTAAATAAAATAAGGTATAAAACACAATAAAGATACATTTATTCATATATTTGTACATTCTCTAGTAGAAATACAAATGGATATCATTTGACAGATTTAAATGATGTAAAAAAGTATGAATGACTGAGATGATATGAATATACAGTAAGACCCCGCTTAACATGGGGGATGCGTTCCTAAACAATAAAGCATTAAACGAGGTCATTTTAACATAGAGTAAATAGGGGTAGGGGAACACGTGGATGTGAGGGACTGGACCTGACAAATTTTGATAGAAATTTAATTTTTCGTCTTTCAAAAAAAATTTTTCCATTTTATTACTGGAGAATGATTACATCTCTCTCTCCAGAGTCATTTCCTTTCTCAGGGAACTCATTGAATGTGTCACTGGGAACTAATATCAAAAATTCCTGATTGGTGAAAAAAGATTACATGATTTGGAGGTATAAAAAAAGAGTGATTCAGGGACAAAGAGAGAGTCCGAGAGTTCGCCAATTGCCCTCCTTGAAAAAGGATATTCGAGTGTGCTTCCCAATCGCTGATCCTGCCTGCCTCTGTTGTTCACCCGACTGTTGCTCCCTTTTTTGGACAATCAAGGTTCACCTTCCAGGAACCCTATTCCGATTTCTCCATCTAGAAGCTTGACTTTTTCCTATGAACTTGAACTTTTCTACCCAGATTTACCTGATCCACTACATCTGTTGACCATTCAAGAATCGACAGAACAAGGTATTTATCGCCATGTGAAAACTAAATGTAAACTCTCTCTCTTGGTCAGGAATCTGTTAACCTCAAATGACACTGTATAGTTATAGATACTTTAACTCACTACTAAAAGCAAAAGAGAATTCTCAGTAACTTTGTGTATTTATGTAAAGATGTATTTTTTCATTTTTTCATTTCATTTTTCATTCTAATTTCGTAGTAGTGTGCACTTTTTCCGATCCACTGTCTCTCAATCCTCTTCCATCCTGAATCCAATTGCCTGCGCACGTGACTGCTCACACTAATTCTGAATTTGTGGCCAATAAGGTTTCTGTGTCTATCCTAGAAGACATAGTGGTGTCAGTCCTGACGAGTTACTAAAGAGGTGCCGACCCCCTAGTCACATGACCAAAAATAAACAAATTTTACTTTAATTTTCAGTTATTTTTATATTAATTTGTATAATAATATATGTTAAATAACACATAAACATATGCACACAGAAATGTAAAGTTCATTTTTTGTGATGAAGGTCCTGGCTTTTCTGAAATTCTTGATTTTTTTGTGATGAACTCATCTAGTGTCATTTATCACTTTCTTTTTCTTTCATTAAGCAAAAGTTGGTAGCAGGAGATTGCATCCAAAATGCTTCATCTTGCTTTTGCACTCCTTCAAAATCTGCATCATTTGCTATAATTTGATCAATGATTTTGGTTATCTTACCAAACTTTTACTAAGGAAATTTGTAGAGAAATTTTTTGGTTTCTTTGTTTTCAGAATCACTATTTTCCAGTTCTACGTGAATTCCTTGTTCTGCCAGTTCTTAAAGGTCATTGTTGGTAAGGCTCTCACCAGAAACCTGCAGTAACTCCTCAATATCCTGCTCATCTACATCTGCTATTCCTGCTGTATTGATTAGGCTGACAATTTGGTCAACCTAACAGTCTTCAGTGTATGGTTTTCCATTAGAAAAAGCTTTTAATTTTAACCTTAAAATAATCTTGACTTTTGACCTAATCCTTAAGGTCAAGGGTATATCTGATTGTGAAATTTCCCACTCTTTCCATTGCCAGGGTCAAAAATATCTATTCCCATTGAAAAAAACACTTGTTCAATTTGACAGGAAAAAGCAATGTCACAGACAACTCCAATTGAAGTATTAACAGGAAAGAGAATCTGCATTGATCATTTGCGTGTATTTGGCTCCAGATGTTTCATACATGTTCCTGAAGCTAGAAGACAAAAATTAGATCTAAAGAGCAAGGAAGGAATCTTTGTAGTGTATGATCAAAATATAAAAGGATACAGTTTTGGTTGGAGGAAAGGTTGGAAACTTCGGAGATGTTGTCTTTGATTTGACAGGGTACAGTCTTCCAACTTTTAAACCTTTAGCCACAATTTGTCTATTTGTTTTTAGAAGACATTTTTCATTATCAGACTCATAAATGAGTCCTTTCTCAACTAACGTTGTGATAGAGAGTAAATTTATTCCCCATTTGGGTATGTGAAGAACTTTTGTTAGCTCTACACTTTTATATGCACATCTGCTAAGAGAAAATTTCACAGCTATGGAACTTCTCCAATAGTCAGCATCTCAGAATCATTTTCCACTTTTATCACTACAAGAGAGGTGTATTGTTTGTATTCTTTGAACCATTCTTTCCTGCTTGTTATATGATCAGTACAGGGTTCCTACTCAAATTTTTGTTTTGAATTCCCTGACTTTCCCTGACCAACTTTGTCCAAATTCCCTGACCCTCACATTTTTTAGTGTGGAATATCGACATAATAAAACAGCATTTACTGTTAACATTGAGTACATTTAGCCCTCTTTTTGCACAGTTGATATGCTTCAAAGACTGCCACATTAAAAAAATACAGTACATACATCCTGTAGAAAAATGTTTGATAGAATCCACAACTTCAATGTAATGAAAAAATAAGCAATTTACAAACAAAACACAAGCTTTTTATTTTATCATCATTTATCATTATTATTTGTATGTAAATCTAGTAAATACAAGGTAACATAAAATCAACAAAAATTATTCTTTGATAAACAAATAGTACTGTACTGTGCTTAAAATGAACTCTTGACTTAGAAACACATAATTTTAAAATCAATCTTTCAACAAAAAGAGTAACTTTTTTTTAACCTTTTTACATTACCATCTGTTGCATATCTTAAAAACAGTTATTGCAAATATAATGTTTAAACATGCATTATTATATGGATAGGATAGATAGGGTGTGACCCATATCCTATTTCTGAGATCAAAGAATGTTTTGATGAGAAGAAATAAAACTCATATTTAATCACTGAGCCTTCTACTGCCCCCATGAAAGCCTCCAGTGCCCGCAAAGGGGCGTTATCACCCACTTTGAGAAAGGATGATCTAGACCAGTGTTTCTCAACCCAAAACTCATCGCAGACCGGAAAATATCTGCTTTTTTTAAGTGGACCAGTGACAATATTATTTTTAATTGAAAAAAATTCTCTGTTGTAAAAAGAACTGCAAACTACATTGAGCAATAAATATTTGTTATTTTATTTACCAGTACATTAGTATACAAATCAATGTGATCGCTGCTTTTCTTTTTTGCTAGTAAGATCATCAATTCTTGGAGTTAAGGTGGTAACTGCAAGGCGTGAGGCAGAACTAACACTATAACGATTTCGTTGTTTCAATTTTATCATTACCATTGCTGAAAACGTTGATTCACATAAGTACGTTGTTGAAAAAGGTAGTAACATCCTAACTGCCTTTTTATGTAAAACTGGATATTCAGATTTAACTTTAATCCAAAACTGTGTTATGGGCATTGATTCAAACAATGTTTTAAATCCCAAGTCTGAACTTAATTTGATTAGTTTTTCATATTCAAAGTCGTACAATCTATTAGTTTGCTATCAATAAACGGATTAATAATCCACATATTTCCTATTTGAGAACAACGCATGGCAGGTTAAATATATATTTTTAAAGTTTTCGCGGACTGGTCAGATTAGAGTTGCAGACCGGCAGTTGAGAAACACGGGTCTAGACTCCTCAAGTTTCCGGGTCTCATTCCTCAAGTTTCTATAAAAAATTTCTGTTCATTCCTTTTTTCCTCTAATAATTAAATTATTTTACGTTTTTCTATTTTAGTTCCGGAATTGTCCGGAACTCACACTTGTATTCCTATGAAGTCATAGTATTACGAAAATTGGGATTCTTAAAACTTATAAAATAAAATAAATACAGAAATAAACAACAAACGAAATTACAATTATACGTTATTAAAATATAGAAGTTCAGCGCAGAGAATCGTAACTACAAATCTCTTTCTTTTGCAACATAACTATAAAAATTGTTTTGGTGTTGTTTCGCACAAAAAATAATCAAATTTATTTTAATTTTTTAGTAATGTAATTATTTTTTTTTAAATTTACAGCTTTTTAATTTTTAAATTTTAATTATAAGCAAGTTAACATTGGTTAAACTATCGGATTACCTGTTGATTTTCGAAAATATAACTACAGAATATTTATTACAAGCATGATCAATCTTGCCAGTTTTTAAGCCCTAAATTTGCCAAAATCAGTGATATTTGTTACCCAATATCATTTCAGTTAACTAATTATTAAACTATGTATCGAAGTTGCGGAAAAAAACGGAAGAGAGAGGGAAAATATGCTTGCAGTACAGTACATTCAAGGAAAATCGTAACAACAAATATAAAAAGCTTGTGCCAACAACAAGTCAGCGCCAGTATTTTACTGTAAACGTCGGGTAACTATTTATAATTTTTTATGTTTTAAACTGAAAAACGATTAAATTACAGATTTTTACTGATCTGTTTAGCTATTTTGAAGTGAACATTCTAATAAATTACGATTTCAACTTTTAAAAGTTTGCAAACAAATTTTTAATTAGTTATTTTTTATTCTAATAAACAATTTCATCTTTTTATAATCGCTGAATTACTAAAATTAAAAATTAAACACTATTACATAAAAGTAGTTTATCCTGTTATTAATTAACTCCCTTGCTACCCACTAATTTTTAATATTAATGTAATTAAACATAAAAAATATTTAAAACTGGGAAAAAAAACGAAAGAAACGCGTTAATTTTGAAGAAACAGCCTCAAACTTTATTTTCCATTGTCTCGCCTTTCTGTGAAATCTGACACCGATGAGTCATTGTGTTTACAGCTGGTGTTGAATTTCCCGAGACATTCTCATAGAAGTCTCGGGAGGAGAAGGGTTTAAAGTAAAGTGAATACTAGCTGGCCGTATATTTTTAAATATTTTTCAAAAATTACGTTTTTTTATTGCGACTTCCGACCCCCCGACTTAATTAAACGTATATATAATAAAATATATTAATTAAAAAAATTAAACTATTGGAGGTCGTTTTTGACATCAGAAACTAGCTTTAAATAACTTTATCGAAGTAAAATCCGTGCACTACTACTTTAGAACGATGAATGAAATTTGATAAAAAAAACTCCCATTAAAAAACAATTAAG